AGGAGGGGGATAGCGGGAAACGCGTATCGTAGTGGCACATCCCATTTGATGAAAAAGACATCCCCCATGGATCAGGAACCCAATCCTGCTCTCAAGCAGAATTGCAGGCATTTGTAATTCTGAGATGTCGTGAAGAGGTCTATAGATGGGACCTCAATGTCTGAATATGCTCTGCATGTTTAGTTCCCACTCATTCCCTGGGAGAATTCTCTGCTTAATATATCTGTTGTGGTGTTTTAACATCTTGGGAGATATGAGGCTAATATATTGACATTGTGCTGGACACACCAATTCCACAATTTGATGGCTTCAGTGCATAGGGAGTGTGATCTTGCCCCTTCCTGTCGGTTTATATAAAACATTCAGGCAATGTTGTCCATCATTACCCTTATGGTCTCAATTCTGATCAAGGGTAGGAAGCGCAAGCATGCGCTGCAAACTGTGTGCAGTTCCAGGTGGTTTATGTGCAACAATGTCTCAGAAGAAGACCATCTGCCCTGAATTGTGTGGTGCTGTAGGTGAGCCCCCCTCAGCCTATCAAGGAGGCGTCTGTTGTGAGAATCATTTAAGGTGGAGTCTGTGTGAAAGGGACTCCCACACACGTTGAGTCTTTGACTTTGAGTGGCATGGTGAGGCGCTTGTTCAGACTGTGTCTTTATGGAACGCAGATGGTTCTTAGCCAGTCCTGAATGCAGTGCATGAGAAGTCCTGCGTGTCATACCACAAATGTGGTTGCCACCCTATGACCTAATAGTTGGAGGCAGGTCTGTGCTGATATCTGTGGGCTGCTCAGTACTGTGGAGATCAGATTGACTATAGTGACAAGTCTGTTTGTTGGCTGTGACACTTTGGCCTCCAGAGCACTGAGATGGGCCCCAATGAAGTCCAGTTTCTGCACGGGTGTCAGTGTTGATTTTGGAATGTTTAGTTGTAATCCCAGATGTGAAAAGAGGGCGACACTCCTGTGAGTAACGTCCAGGGCATGTGCCCAGGTAAGTGCCTTTAGTAGGCAAACATCCAGATAGGGAAATATTATTACCCGTTGCTTGCGGAGGTGTGCTGCCACTACCACAAGAATTTTGGAAAACACCCATGGTGCTGTTGAGATGCTGAAAGGTAGAACTTTGTACTGACAACGTTCTGTCCTCAGAGTAAATCTGAGAAACCCCCTGTGAGCGGGATGTATGGTTACATGAAAACAGGTGCCTTGGAGGTCGAGGGCCGAGAACCAGTTCCACTGTTTCAGTGCTGGTATTATTGTTGTTAGCGTGACCATCCTGAACCGCCGGACCTTTACAAATTTGTTGAGTTTTCTGAGGTCTAAAATAGATCTCTATCCCCTGTTCTTTTTCTGGGTTAAATAGTAGTGGGAATAAAAACCCTTCCCTCTGTGTTGTGATGGCACCTGTTCCAGAGAGCACAGATGTAGGAGGTGGTTTACCTCTTGCTGTAGAAGATGTTTGTGAGAGGGGTCTCTGAAGAGGGATGGGGAGGAAGGGTGAGAAGAAGGGATGGAGATGAAAGGTATTGAACAGCCTGTGTGCATTATTTCTAGAACCCAGGGTGATGGATTTCCATGCTGAGCAGAAAGGGGTCAAACAGTGTCTGAAATGGGGGATGGTCAATGATGGTGTCAGCACTGAGGAAGTGGGAGGTCGCTTGGGCCCTCGACCAAACCCTCAAAATTGCTGTTTTGCAGAAGGTTGCTGGGACGCCAATGACTGAGGCGCAGGTGGTCAATGCCTTGGAGGTCTCGATCTGTGCCTTTGTGTGTCGTATTCCTTCTGTTGTTGGGCATACGGGGCAGACCTTGTCTGCTGGGAGGGATAGTATTTACCCTGTTTTTTTCTTGTTGCAGGTGTGTATATCCCCTGGGTACAAAGGGTTCCCCAAGAGTCCTTCAGGGTGTGGAGGGACTCGTCAGTCTTTGTTGCAAAGAGTTTCTGGCCATCAAAAGGGAGGTCCTCCATAGTGGATTGTACCTCTCTTGGGAAGCCAGACAGGTGGAGCCACGAAGCTCAATGCAACCTATGGTGGTGTGCCATGGAGTGTGCCACCATGTCTGCTGCATCTAGAGATGCCTATAAGGCATTTTTGGCTAGGAGATGGCCCTTGGAGATGATGGCTTTACATTGGTCTCTTTTGTCTTCTGGTATGTAATCAATAAAGTCTGTGAGTTTGGAATAGTTTGTGTGGCTGTATTTCGGCATCAGTGCACCATAATTTGCAATCTGAAATTGAAGAGCGGCTGATGAGTAGGCCTTGAGGACAAAAAGATCTAATTGTTTCCATGCTTTGTCATATGGGGTGGATTGGTCTTGTCTGCCTCGTTGATTGACAATGTCAACAACTAAAGAGTTCAGTGCGGGGTGAGAAAATAAAAAGTCCATCCTTTGAGGGAATGTAATACTTTTTATCCACTCTCTTTGCAAGTGGGCGATATTGTTGTCTGCCATATGTTTTTTGCCAACTCCATAAGTGTTCGTTTATCAGAAGAACTATTTTTGACGAAGATGAAGTTTGGAGAATGTCCAGTAATTTGTATTGGGACTCTGGGACCTCCTCTACAGGGATCTACAGGGAATCGGCAATTCTTTTGAAGAGCTCCTGGAAATGTTTGAAATCATCAGAAGTTGTGGATGGTCACAGCATTTTTGCCTCATCTGGAGAAGAGGAGGAAATGTTGGCCAATGGTGTCATTTCCTGCTCCAGGGCTGCCTCCTGTTCCTCAAAGCTTTACTCCAGAGGTTCTGATGGTGTAGCCAGTGAAGGTGGTGGGGGAAATTTAATCCTCTCCCTGTAGAAGTTTGGGGGCCAGGCATATTGTCTCCTGTATGCCCTCCAGGGGTCCCAGTAGGGCCACTGCATGGGGAATGGCATAGGTGGTGGCATCTATGAGTGGCCATTACCCGGTCTGGGTGTTAACCCTGTGGTAAGACTTAGGCTGTACAGGTGAGCCTATGCTGAAGTAGTTTGGATGGGAGAGGAGTGGTGAAGGTGTGGTGGGTTGACACGGGACCATGTGTACCAGAGATACATTGGTATCAAAGAGTGGTGATTCTGGCGTCGCTGAGATCAGTAAGTCTTTCTGGTGCAGGAAATGGTGCGGTGCTGGTGGTTTCAGTGCCGAGGTGGTTGGTGCCGACAATGTTGTTGTGCATGCGGGTGTCAGTGCCGACACACGAGCTCTCTGTGCTATGGAAGCGCCATAGCCTGTGGAGACTGCACCGGTGCCGCATCTTTAGGCAGCTCTGTCGGTGCTGTGGCAGAGGGGGTAGGCTTCTGTTTGCCTCTCAACTCTGAGCCTGCCAGCTTCAGGAATACTAAAAGACTGTTATAATCCTAAGCTAGCTATTGATTTTAATCATTGCTGGGAGCTCCGTCTCAGGCCAAGGATGGTTGAGAAGGAACTGAGGGGGGGGTCTGGTCACGTGCGCTAGATAGGCGCCGATAACGGCGTGCGACAGGGAGACACATGCGTGACACAGAGGAGCACTGCTGCTGAAATTCTCCAGTCAAAGGCGCAGGGAAGTGGAGAACCCACAGGGACGCTCCTCAAAAGGAGAAATATTAGCTACTATCTATGTGACATCTGGTCAAACTGTGTTCCAGAATGTGATTTCATCATCTTTCCATTTTTTCAGCTAGCAAAGCTATGACACATGATGACAGCTAGATTAGTCTTGGTAAACGAATGCAGTGAAACAAGCTTTTCCTGTTCTTGTGCTTTTGATTGATCAGTGAAATATGTTTCACATTAATCATGTACGTGCAGGAAATCTCTACATAGGGTGACCAGATGAGAGGAAGAAAATATCGGGACACATGGGGGGTGGGGGGTGTCACTGGTGGAGCAAAAAAAAAGTGGAGTGCTGTCGGCGGAGCACAAAAAAATAAAAGGAGTACTGCGAAATATCGGGACAAATTGCATCCCGACCAAGCATCAGTCCGGATGCGGGACAAACACCTAGATATCGGGACGGTCCTGATTTTATCGGGACGTCTGGTCACCCTATCGCTAGAACTTAAGCAAGAACATTAACTCCCATGGTTCTTACGCATTTACCAAGTATTCTGCTGTATTTATTTAGATTTCTTAAAAGCATAATCAGTAATCTCTTGGCATGTGTAAAAATATTAACAACAGAATTAAACAAGGAAGTTTAAGAGGCACAATGCCAATAAAACACTTCCTCAGCCACTGAATTCAAAATCCCATAGCCACTGTACCTCAGTACCTTCCCTCCAGATCAGAGAGGGATGGGGAAACAAACAAACAAAAACCTCCACCATTTAGACTTGGCAGCATGTCCTGGCTTTGGCAGACCGAGGGCAGGAAGTGAGTCCATGGAGGATAGGTCCATCAATAGCTATTAGCCAAGATGGTGAGGGATGCAATCCTATGTCCCTAGTCACTTGATTGCCAGAAACTGGGAGTGAACATCAGAGGATGGATCACTCACTGATTGCTTGTTTTGTTCATTCCCTCTGATGCATCTGGCACTGGCCACTGTCGGAAGACAGGATATTGGGCTAGATGGACCATTGGTCTGACCCAATATGGCCGTTCTTATGTTCCAGAGGCGAGGACCTTTCATTGAGAATGCCCTGGCAGCAGCTAGCTCAAGTGCTGGCAGCCACCCTGAAATCATTCAGAGAGTGGCAGTCTCTAAGGTAGGCAGGGCCCATGCGGAAGACAACACAGTATTTAAAAAATCAACACCTTAAACTTCACCTATACATCAACTGGCAGCCAGTGCAAGGCATAACACGCTACTTATGGGAAGTCGCATTGAACAAATGGTAGCCACATTCTGCAATAGCTGCAATTCTCGGGTGTGCTGAAGGTATAGCCCCACGTAAACCACTCTGGAACAATACTTGTTACATCAAGTCTAGTCAGCCACTCATTTATCCACTTCCCAAATTCTGCCTGCGTGATACATGCAAGACAGAAGCAGAACCAAAGTTGTTCCAATAGACCGTACTCTGGGGCTCACCTGATCATCTATCTTCCTCTGAAGCTGAACCACCTTGTTCTCCATGCCGATATTGAGTTTCTTCAAGTGCTGTGCAGACCGTGCTTCAATCTTCAGTTTCTTCAGCTCTTGCCTGGCCTTCATGCGCCTGAAGTAGCATTGGATGACCACAGCCGCACACTTGAAGCGGAGGAATTGCTTACGCGCCAGCCAGGCCCGGGCATGTTTCTGGATGATGGTAGCTTTGTGCTCCAAAAGGATCTAGAAGACATGCAGAAACAAAAGAATCAGGAGAAACATGCAGAAACAAGACAATCTGGAGCATAAAACAAAGCTGCTATTGGTTAGTAACAATGGCCCAATTGAATTTACTGCACAGCACTGCCCTGTTTGTTCCCCTCACATTTCTCCTCTGCCCCAAAAGGAATTGAAGTAACATCCCCGCATCTTTACATTATTCTAGTAAAACAGTTGCAGGAATAGATGACTGATCATCTAATTGCTATTATTTTAGGGGGGGCTTCCCCCCTTTTTTATATTTTCCATCTATCTTCAGTACCTGTATGGCCACTATCACTATACTATCAGAGCACCTCACAAATATTGATGTATTTACCCTCACAACACCCTGTGAGGTAGGAAGATGCTGTTACCACCATTTCACAGATGAGGAACTGAGAGGCTAAGCGACTTTCCCAAAGTCACACAGGAGTCCATGGAATGACAAGGAACTAAGGAGGTGCTATGCAAGTATCTCCACACAGCTCTTCCGATGCGTCTTAGTCTTCACTTACAGCACTCTATAATTTTTGGTCTTGGCACTTCCATGAATACAGGCTGCTGTAGAGATGTGGATGGCTGTTCCCAAGGAATAAACAGGAGACCTACTAAATTCACTTAGCAAGCTAATGAAATTTTACGCTAAGATCTTCTGAGGGCAATAGGGGAGTACACTAACCCACTGTGCCAGATGTGGCAATACATGGAGCCACACATCAGCTGTAAAGTTTGCATTTGGACCCAGCTCTCTATCTAAAGCTTGAGGGTGTTTGGATCCAGAGGCTTGGTTTCCACCCAACTCTAATACTTGATTGTTAAGGTTTGAGTTCTCTTGAATAGTGGATAGTTAAAAAGAATAGCGTTTCTGAACAGTGGTAGAATAGCAGCCCTATCTACAAAACAGGTATTGCGTGAGCAATGACAGTGTGAATCCCCCCCACTCCCCAATCCAATGGGAATCAGCTGGGGCCTGCAGGGATCTTCCAAGTGGCTAGTTCAGTCTACATGCCCATTCATTCTTGACCTCTTTTCTAGACCGAGGGTACAAGTGACCTTACTTATTATCAATTGTAGTGATGCTTTTTTGTCACATGGGTGTCTGCCCTTTGGAAACTGGACTGAAACCACTGAACAGCCATCTGATAATAATCATTTTTGGTGACTACCAAGTGGAGCTGGATCTCAGCTGATGACTTTGATGTGGAGGGTTCCCTATGCCATTACCCGTCTCCTGAGCCTGGCAGTCCTTTCCTGTGTCATTTATTATGATCATCAGCATCACTTATTTCCTTTCACTTGGCATCTGTTACTGCATTAAAATTAATGGAGATCATTAATTAAATAGGCAATTGCAGTACATGTGAAAGCAACTAGCCACCTTTCATTTATGCTTGACTTTAACAGACAGTAGCATGGCTCAGACGTGTACATTTTTCCTCAGGTAAGATTTTCACTGGATGTATTACATCAGATGACATTTCCTGATTTCCACTATGCCCGTACGCATCTGTTTGTGTGAATAACTTCATTAAGCTAGTCCTTTGAGGCGCTGCTGCCTAATCATTTCTGCTCGCACAGCTTTAGTGCTGCAATATTTGCAGTTAATACTTGGGAACTCCAGAAATACAAAACCTCACAATTTGGGGAAAAGATCAAAGCGTCTTCAATAAATACACGACTGGACTGAACTCTTGGTAGATAAATTTAAAGGCATCTCTCCCTAATGCAGTGACATTTTGTGAAGTAGTAGTACCTTGTGGTAAATTTTCCTGACAAACATGCCCCGAGTGAAGGCCTGAATAGTGATAGTGGCGTTGCGGATCTTCTGGAAAGCATGAAGGATCCTCAACATTCGGTATTGTTTCTGGAAAATGATGGCAGCTCTTGTTTTCCTTAGGTGGTCTGCCAATCTGTGAAGTGCAAGGAAGAAGAGGTTAATGGTAATAAGTATCAGAGGGGTAGCCATGTTAGTCTGTATCCACAAAAACAACGAGAAGTCTGGTGCATCTGAAGAAGTGAGGTTTTTTACCCACGAAAGCTTATGCCCAAATAAATCTGTTAGTCTTTAAGGTGCCACCGGACTCCTCATTGTTTTAATGGTAATACTAATTCAGTTCCACCATGTCACCCATATATACACAACATTTTTGCCATAGCTGGTATTAAGCTGCATTAGCAAACAATCCTTTGTTGATGAGTTGTTTGACACTATTTGAGAGAGAAAAACAGCAGTAAACTCAGGAAAAGAAGCTGATGCCATCTCTCCTGTTCAATTATGGTGATGTGCATCCATCCATTAAAGGCTCGCTGTATCTGGGGATATTTGAAACACTAACAGCAAATGTAACGTTTGGAACTGCTTTTAGTACTTCTCTTTAAAAAAAGTTTATTTTTTCCATCTCACTCTCTCTCTTGGTTTCTTTTTTCCCTGTCTTAAATCCTCAAAACTCTAAGCCGTCATCATCATCAAGGTTCGTTATTCCAGTCCTCTACTACCAAAAACAAGAGTAGTACAGCGTGTTCACTGGTTACAAGTACATTGAGCAAAACAACAGCAAATTGATTTGACATTTAAAGCAATGCGCACTGGTTTGGCAACATTCATGAGCAGGACTCCAAGCGATTCATACACAGTGGATAATTTGGGAAGTGATTAGTACCCTTGTGTGCCGCTGCCATTCTGAGACTATATGGGGAAAATGTATGACCAATTTATTGTTAAATCTCTTAATAAATATCCATAAAACCACAGTTTAGTTTGATGGTTAGCTTGTTTCACTGATTTTATGATGTATTCATTGCCCTCAGCATGAAACATCACACTTGTATTTGCTTTGGTTTTACAAGTTGTGTTAAAAACTTTTTATTAACATTAAATTTAAAAAAGGCTCTTTGTATGGGCCCTTGCATTCCTTCTTACAGACACACAATGCCTCACTGCATCCCACAGAACTGGAACCTCTTAACAACCAGGGAGGGGTGGCAAGAGCAAACAGGGGTGCCTGGGGGAGGGGGGGAGTGGGGCAATTTGCCCCAGGCCCTGCAGGGGCCCCCCACGAGAATATAGTATTCTATAGTATTGCAACTTTTTTTTATGGAAGGGGCCCCCGAAATTGCTTTGCCCCAGGCCCCCTGAATCCTCTGGGCGGCCCTGAGAGCAAAAAGGCTGTTTATCTAGCAACACCATTCTCTATGCACCCAGCACGAAGAGATGGATGTCACAGCAAGGTCATCTCAAAGGAAGCAAAGAGTTAAGGTAAGGTCAATCAGGATAGAACATGAATATGGAACACCAAGTATAAGATTCCTCTCTCCCTCTTCCCGCTCTCCCGCCACCCCAGCTCTAGAGGTCATGACTGCTTGATACACAGGGTCTCAATGAGATCTCAAAGAATCTTCACTTTCGTGTGGAATTGTCAGGAGAAACGTACCATACAACCTCCTACTTGGGTTGTGCTTGGCTGCGCTAGGTCTATAATCCTCTTCCACTGTGCACTGTTTGTGCAAAGCTTGCCTTATGAAGGCACATTCCTAAGATATGCCATTCACCTGGAAGTCTGTGTTTCCTCATCAGCTGATATGAAGGAAATGCAGCCCCAACACTGTAGGTGCCCCTTTATTTCAACTCCTAACAATGCCAGGCAGTTTGCATTATGGCAGCACACTCCTGGGCATTAAGGGTTTTCAGGCTGTGTCTTCCCAGCAAGTTCCAGCCACTGCTGAGGGAAAGGGCTAGCCAGTCTTCCCTGATTCCCCATCACGGGCCAAGGGCTTAGAAACAACATGTCCCCAGCAGACCCTATATAGGTAGGCAGAGGGATGGGGTTGAACTGATCTATGCAAAAAGGAGCGAGAGGGTGGGAGGCAAATAAATAATATTTTAAAATGCGTGTAAGCGTCAAATGTTGCACAACGTGAATTGACGTAATTGGGTGAGATTAATTACTGCTACCCGTGTTCTCTTCCTTCCCTCCCCTCCTATTTGTCATCCTCACTTGTTATGCCTCAGCTTTAAGTAGACTGTAAGGTCCTCGGGGCAGGGACCACGTCTATGTGTTTGTACAATACCTGGCACCGTAGAGCCCTGATTAGGTCGTGTGTGCACTACTGTAATAATAATGAAGTACTGACTGGACAGGAGTTGCGGCCACTACGTGAGACGTCTGTGACTGTTATAAATAAAATCACCCCACTCCCTGGCTCTGCTCATCACCGCATTTTCCATGAGGTTGTTACATTTCATAACTGCAAACAGAATGAAGCGAATTCAGTTATGACAACTCTAAATATACATCCGCAATATAGCGTGATTTATAGGAAATCAGTGTGTCACCTCTGAAGGGACAGAGATTCCTCAACCTCAGCCATCCAAATTAACTGATAAAAATCAACATCCACTCAGTAAATCAGGAGAAAAGGACAGGCCATGTTTAAAAGATGGGTTGCCTGAAGAGGACGCTTAGCTCAATAGACAGCATCTTGTGTCACCCAAGTACAAACAGGGTTAATTGGGCTGCAGCTTATTTTGCAGTACCTCTGAATGGAAAACATTAACTCAGAGCCAAGGAATAGATTACTGCTCAGCAACCTTTCAGCTAACAGACTGAATTCCATCGAGAGAAATCGTAAATGGGGTTGAAGGCAGACAACATAAAGGATCAAAAACCCACTCTGGCACATGAGATTGCTAGTCCTGTAGCAAGGATTTTTAATAAATCTATTCACGGGTAGGACAATACGACTGGAGAAGAGCTAACATCGTACCTATAGTTAAGAAAGGGGGGTGGGAAAGGTGATCCAGGCAATTACAAACCTGTTATTTTGACCTCAGCAGTATGCAAGGTTTTAGAACAAATTGCTTACTCCTAATAATCTTTTCAAGGTGGTTATTCATCCAGCTGGGTTGGGAGCCTTTCCCTACAAGTTTCTTCCCCTTACTTAGGATGCAAATTTCAAATCATTTTTGTATAGCTCATTTGAAGAAATTCCAAGTTTTTATTCCTCTCTCTCTCCTCTAAACAGACAAACTCTTCAATACCTGTATTCCAGTCACAAGGGCTACTCCATCTTGTTTCTGTAATCCCTGTAATACCTGATTTGACTTCCTGTACCTGTAGTTACAGTTCCTCCATTTTATTGCCCAGGCGCCTTGCATTCGTGTGCAAGCAACTCAGTTGGACCTCACCAGGTTTTCTAGCTTGTGGTGTTCCATTATCCCTTACTATATCTTCATTTAGGGGATTTTCCTGCTCCTGAATCCTGAAGCCAGGTGTGGTGATTTCACAAGTCTCTCAACCTTCTCCTCTCATCTCCCAGTTTAAAGCCCTTCTTATCAATCGGGCCAGGCTTGATCTCAGAAGGTTAATATCCTAGGTAGTCAAGTGGAGCCCATCAGTTGATAAAAGTCTTCTTTCTGTAAATGCCTCCCAATGGTCGATCATCCCAAAGCCTTCCACAGAGCACCAATCCTTGAGCCATCTGTTGGTCTTCATTATCTTGCCACGCCTTCACCATCATTCTCTAGGGACCGGAATTACTCCTCTGAAAATCACTTGAGCTTCCATTTCTTTAAGTGCCTTACCCAGCTGAGCATTCCAATCCATTCCAGTGGGAATCCAGCAGTGTCATTCATCCTGACATGCATCACCATCAGTGGATTCTTCCTCCATCCCATCATAATCCTCTTTAGCCTCACATCCACATCTCATGCCCTTGCTCCTGGCACAGAGCACACACTTCTGTTTTCTGAATCTGGTCTGGTGACATGCCTGTCAATTCTTTGGAGTGTTTAGTCCTCGCTCACATGAGCCTCTCTCTCCCCGGTGCTTGTATGACTCTGTTTTATGTTCTCCGTCACAGCCCCCTCATATCATATTCCCATTCTTCCTTAGGCTTCAGTCCCTGGCTATCTCCATCTCTTCTGCACGGATTGGCGTCGCTTCTTTTCTTCCTCACCTTCTGCCTGTTTCTCCTCCTCATTCCCCAGTGCAGCAAATCTGTTACTCAACTCAATTTTACCACCAATAGCTGGTGTCCTTCTCTGACCTGTCCCCATAGTCACATTCTTCCATGGATTATCCTTCTCTTTTGGCAGTCCACCCTCCAGGTCCTTTTGTTTGGCAGGTGTCCGCAAAACTTGGGTTGTCTATCACTTCCTCTCCTGCATTACACCTTCAAATTCCTGCCTGAATTCCACCATTGTCTCCAGTCGCATCTCTAATCCTTGAATCTTCTCTACCATGAGCTCTACCAGGTGACATTTCAAGTCATGTTTTCACTATATATATATATATACACACACACACATACATACACACACGCACACACACACACACGTTTTCACTACACACACACACACACACACACACACACACACACACACTGGTGCAACACCAATAAACAGTGCATTAACATATGAGAGAGAGCAGACAGGGCTGTTAGAATACAGATATTCAGGCCTGTCTGCAAAGGCCTATACTTTAAGAATTTAGGTGTATTCTTATCACTTAGCTAGGTATAGAGGTACAAAACAAGAATCAAAATCAGTCTGCCAGTTTATAGGCCTTCTCTCACTATGATAGTCTAAGGCCTTGTTCTTCGGCTAAGGCCTTTGGCTAAACAGCAGAGGCAGCCATAAGCTGGGAAGTGTATGGTCACATCCTCACATTCCAAACCAGTCACACTGAAATAAGGCAATCTGGGGCTGTTAGAAAGGTGATCCGATCTATCACCCCCAGAGAAAGGGAAGAGCCTAGAAGATTTAAAGAAAACTTAGTTTGATAGCATCCTGTCTGGCAAGAACTCACTTATCAATAGCTGGGGTGTGAAATCCTCATTTCTTTGTTGTTCTATCACTGCAGTCCCCACTTCCCTATTGTTTGTCTCTATAATCTTTGTCTGGTTCCGTGATTGGTTCTGTCTGATGTATAATTAATTTTGCTGGGTGTAAACCAATTAAGGTGGTGGGATATAATTGGTTAGATAATCATGTTACAATATGTTAGGATTGGTTACTTAAATTTCAGTAAAATGATTGGTTAAGGTATAGTTAAGCAAAACTCGAGTTTTACTATATAGTCTGCAGTCAATCAAGAAGTAAGGGGGTGGGGAATTGGAATCATGTTTTGTTAAGGCGGGGAATGGGAACAGGGACACAGGCAAGTTTCTGTGACACCAGAGCTGGGAAGGGGACACCGAGGAAGGAAATTGGAATCATTGCTTGCTGGAAGTTCATCCCAATAAACATCGAATTGTTTGCACCTTCGGACTTCGGGTATTGTTGCTCTCTGTTCACGTGAGAAGGACCAGGGAAGTAAGAGCGTGAAGGAATAAACCCTCTAACAAGGGCTAAAAGAATTTAGGCGACCTTCCCAAAAATCACAGATAGAGTGGGGGACAGAACCAAGGAATTCTGACTCCCAGGCCCTTATTCTTACAGCTACACCACATTGTCCATGGTCTACATACACATAGAATGGGCTTTATTTTCAGAGGTGCAGGACACCTGCAACTCCCTATAAAGTCAATGGCAACTGCAGGTGCTTAGTGCTTCTGAAGATAAGGCAAGTCATGTACTTGTGATATCAAGATCTGCTCTAGGAATTATTTTGGGGAAGTTCTATGGCTTGTGTTATGCAGGAGGTCAGACTAGATGATCACAATGGTCTCTTCTGACCTTGGAATCTATGAATGTACCCAGGTTTCATAACATAAGGGTATCAGATGACTGAGTAGTTCTAATAAGAGAGCTGGAACTATTCTCCACTCTATAGTTCCCAGCTAGTCATTCTCTAGAGATGACGCTTACCTGCGAGCCAGGTGTCCTCGTGTATACCTCTGGATTGTTATTGCAGCATTTCTCATCCTTCTGTACTTCACCCTCTGCAGCCAGCCCCGCACTGTCTTCTGTATCATGATAGTAGCAGCTCTGAATTTATCTGCCCGCAGTTTCTCCAGATATGCCACCTGGCCTGCACGGAAAAAGATCTTGGTACGTCCAAACTGGAACTTGTCAGGATCCTTTTCAAAAGCATAAGGGAAACTGAGTTAAGAAACATTTTCCTGAGGAGTCTATGCATTTGCTCAGCATTATAAGGATGGCAAGAGTGAATAAAATTTACCAATTCAATTCCCATATCCGTTCAACTGGCTTAAACAAACTTTATCCCACAGCACCAGTTTCAGCATATAAAGCCAAGACTCACTCTTTTAACCCAACAATCCCGATTTTCACATATTTGCACTAACAGCTGACAAGAGTTAAGGACCAAATCCCAGTCCCAATGAAGTCAATGGGAGTTTTGCAATTTACCGGGATTTGTCCTAACTAGGCACTAGCAGGGACCATGAAGGCTTGTCACCTTGCTCTGGAACACAGGTGGTGTTTTCAGATCAAGGGGCATTCGTCATGTCATATCACAACCGCACGAGGTAGGGCATTGGCATTGCTGGACCTTGGTCCTTTCTGTTTCCAGTTTCTGTATTTCCATTCTAGTCAATGAATATGCAAACTGGATGTAAACACTTTCTTGGCATGTTATCCTCTCTGATAGGGTGAAAAACAAAAGCTTGTTCTCCTCCATTGTGACAAAACTTAAGAGATGAGCTAGAACCAAAATTTCTGAGCCAAAGACTCCCAAACTGTGCGTGGGAAATGAGAGGAGTGTCAAAATCTGAACCCAGATCTGTGCCAACACTCTAAAAGTGGCCCCACTCCTTACAAACAGGCTAAGCCAAACCCACAGACTGAGCACATGTTCAAAATCTGGATGCAAAAGCTGCATTTTGCAACTTTAGATCATCTCTTTAGGAAAAAAAAATCAAGGCTGCGATCCTGCAAAGGTGTGCATGTGCTTTAACTTTACCCACTGACGTCAACAGGACATGTCAGTGAATAAAGCTGAGTCTTTGCAGGACCGAGGCCCCAAGAAAACAACGAGCCAACCTGTCAGAGGTCTCAGCAACAAAAAAGGCCTCAGAATAAAAATTTAATCACGGAGAAAAAAAATCATTGGAAAATATCCTTAAATTTAAAAATGAACTCAAATAGTTCCCAAGGAGCCTGAGTAATGACAAACTGAACCTCCCTCAGCTAAAGCTTGTTAATTTTTTTTTAAAAAAGGACAGAACAAATTAATAATTGGAAAAGAAATCTCAGTGCCTAGACTGTTCTCACAGTATGCAACCATTAAGAATTTCCCATGCAGCAGACATATCATGTTTGTTGCATTTTCTCTTCATCATTTATATGAAAAGGTGATTGGTGACTGGCTTTGGGGGTCTCTGTGCAGTGAGAGATAGGCCCTTCGGCCACTCCATCTCTTGACCGGGATTCCTCATGCTGTACGCCGTGTGTGAAGCTGGGACTCTAGGATTTTATTCCAATTGTCAAAAAGAAGGAAAAGGAATGGGTTTTGTGGGGATAGTAACTCACTATCATTTACTGTCCACGAACGAGCTGTGGAATTCAATTGCAGAAAAAAGGCTTTTTCAGCTTGAATGCAATCAACAGATCTCATGCCATGTCTCATTTAGTCTCATTATTCGTTCTGAGATGGTTTGACTTTGGAAGACGCTCCTGAGTGCCAGGGACACATCAGCATTTTCAGCTACAGCAGGCAAATGGGGAGGAAGGGAAGGTGAGCTGAGATATTATCAGTGTCAACAGCTTCTGCGCTTTAATGATTGTTTCCAAAGCTTCAGTCCCAGCTCACCTTAATGAGGTTTTCCAGAAGAGTTTTACAGATCAACTTCTTGTCATTTTTAGAGATCTCCCCCTTTTTCATAAGAACTCGATACCTATTGAAAAAGTCATGGTAGGACCACCTGAAAGCAAAGCACAGATAAAATTAAACAGGGCACTGGGTTTCATTTATTTAGCTAATGTTTAGAATTAGAGCTTAAATAAACCAAACCTCGAATCCAAACCTTTTCACATTTGGAGGAGAGAGAGGGAGAGTGGGGTTTAAAATCAGGTCTGAACCCAACCCCCGCTGGTTCTGGACTGGGTTGGAAGGTGCTTCCCCTCCCTCCTTCCCCCCTTACCAGCTTGTACTGGATCAGGTATATTTAAAATCACAAAGGAGGATGGGTGATCTGGAAAGATTTACATCAGTTGGGACCGAAGTATCACAAGAACAGCTAGCCAGATTTCTGCACCATTCATGTGAACCTCAACCTCGGCCCCGATTTGGTGTTGAATGCAATCGCCAGCCTAACTCTAATTTGGGTCTAAATGTTAAGGCTCCTCTCTAATTTTAAGTGTTCCAGAAAGTTTCCCGCTTGATTATGACCAGGGCCGGCTCTGGCTTTTTTGCCGCCCCAGGCAAAAAAACCTCCGGCCGCACCCCCGGAGCCCCGGGGGGAGGGCAGCGAGCCCGGTCGTGGCCCCGCTCTCCCCGGCGGCTGGAGCGCCGCACCGCCCCCCTCCAGGTGCCGCCCCAAGCACAAGCTTGGTGGGCTGGTGCCTGGAGCCGGCCCTGATTATGACACAGACACACTCAATTTGGTGCCGATGACGCCCAAACAACCACAAGAACCTTTCCTCCTTCTAACCGGAAAGCATTGCCATAGCAGGATTGCAGAACTACAATTTACAGTATCTGCATTAGAGGGATTTATGGAAATACCATTCAGCCAAAAAAGTACCCCACATTGAGAGACAGATGTAAAATAAGACAAATCAGGTTGCACTGAACATCATGACACATGCCGGTCAACCACCTGAGGTAACCACTGTCTGAAAATGCCAAAGGATTGTGTTATATAAAAATTGGGCCTACAACCTCTTCTAATCACACTTGCCACTATCTCACCATTGGACTTCCACATGTTTTTTTTCAAATATTTTTCTGCAAGTAATATTTTATTGCCTGATCCTGCATGTCCTTAGGCTGGGAACTGATTCAGATTGATGGGTGTTTGGCCTGAGTTAGGATGGCCAGGCTGAGCCCTACAGAAATTTGTCATTATTTGTTCACACTGTATGCATTGTGTCTATCATCAATCCAGATTTGCTATAGAACCTCTTCTTTTATCTGCACTCCCATAAGCTCCTTTGCTAAGACCTTGGTTTGGAGTGGAACCACTGCAGAACACTTCAGTTCTATTCCCCTGACCACCAGTCTACTGCATTCCAATGAAATCACTTAAGAGCAAGAACCGTTTTGCCCCTGGATACATGTGGGTATCTTCTATAGCTGTTGACATGCGTTATGTGCATATTTTGAGGAGAAATTAAAAAGCAAACACAGTATATGGCATGGAACACATTGAACATAGTTCCTGCCTGGCTTTTGTTTCCAAACTCTGATGCATATACATTAGAACACTTCTCATGTTGAGAGTTCAGGCCTTTAAGGCATATGCTCGAACTTGGCTGCTCTCCTGGCTGTTATTAGATGTTTGGCTTGGGATAGGTAAAGCAGGTTGTTTGGAAGGCTCTGCACCACAAACAATGAAGTCTCTAAACGTGGCAGAGCTGTAATTCAAGAAATCAGGGCACTATATTATACTGCTAGGAAGAGGCATCTCCTGCCATCTCTATGAGATTTAGAGTCTGCATATTAGATCTGAAATTGAATCACAGTCCACTAAGTTTCAGCCCTCTGCGAACTAAAACAGCTGAGTTATGGACCCATCAAAACCAGGGTTTTTGGTGAAAACACCAGGCATTTCCAGTGCTGCTACAATTATTTTAAACATATGCAAATGAACGTCCAGGGAAAGAAGTGAATGAACTCCAAAATGCCAGACTTCTGCCTAAACTTGAGCAATCATGCTATGGGCCTGATTCTCATTTACACTACGACCACTTTCTACTGCTCTGGCACCACAAAGGAGTCTTAAAATGGGAATACATTAAATGAGAATTGAGCGTTTAGAAGTCTGTCCATGGTGCAACCAGAAGTTGATCTATGCTTTTGTATATACATGCAAAATCCAAGCAATTCTTTTTGCTTTTTCCACCCCACCAAAATGAAACATTCCAGGGCTCAATTTTGAACAAAAAAATGCCAGTAGCACAACGCTCCTGAGTGACCCTCCCACCCGATAAAAAAACTGCATATACGCAACAGAAAAAAATATCCCCCCCCTAGTGAAATACATTTCGGTATCAAGCTGCCATGGGTGTTTGTAAACCAAAGTAAAAAATAAAATGGAAAATGCCTTTAAAGAAAAAAGTGTTCCTCAATATTTTCTATAATTCTCTGCAATAAAATCCATCTATAATAGTGAAAATGTCTACTGCCCACCATAGTTAAGCACTGAACTTTCCATTCTAGCCCGCCTTTATTGTTAGCCTATTTCTCAAAGAAATTTTGGGATGGAAATTGTCAATGCTCTGTCTCAGGTGACTTGTTATGGAAAGTTTGCACAAAACAGGCTTAAAGTTTTGAGTTTATGTTAGTGATCTTCACCCTACTTCCACCCACTTGGGTGTACACATTTACCCACATTTACCCAGATGTTCAGATCAGGATGTTGCAATTGCATATCTAAAAATTGCTTTCCCTGTCCCAGCTGAAATACCTTAACAACCGCAGGGGATTTAACTGAGGAAGGCAACCTTAAGGCTGAGTTAATGCCAAGCTCTTATATAATGGTTTGCATTCGTAGATTCCAACGTGCTTTGCAAAGGAGCTCAGTATCATAGTTCTGCTAGATCCATGGAGCTTGTATCTCTGCACGTTGAATATTAATATAAACATCTATATTGCAGTAGAGTCAAGAAGTCCTATACGAAGATCATGGCCCTAATGGGCTGGGTATTGTATAAACACATACAAAGATGCATGTCCTCCCTCCCGAAGGATTTACAGTCTAAGGCTGCAACCTGAACACACTTATACACATACTTAAAAGCACATGAGTAGTCCTATCGAACTCATGTGTTCACAGGCCGAGGGCCTAAGATGACAAGTGACTTACAAATCGTAGGGATACAGTTAAATACATTCTGCTTCAATATACAAACATATATTTCTTTTTTATTGATATAAAGCAAGCGATAACTATCTCCATCTTCCCCTCAACTTGCCGGTATTCAGTGCTTTTTCCTTATCAGAATTGCAGCAGGTGGTCTTGGGGAGGGAGTTGAAGGAGAAAGGGTCAGTCTGAAGTAGGAGAGGGTGTTTTCTGCAAAAGGGGCAGGATGTCAGAAGGGATGGAGACATTAACGTGAGGCACTGACAGATGGGGTGCACAAGGCTGGTTTCATTGGTGGGCAATGCTCCATTGTCAAGCCTTTTACACACTCGGTTAAGGACAGCTGCAATAAGATACAGCAGTTTCACAGTTGCTTTTACAAGACTTTCAGAGGGAGGAGCAGTTAAAGAAGTTAGCTTAAATTTAAGACCTCTTGTTAAACCACCTGCGGCATGTCTACACTGCATCTGGAGAGAAGCCTCCCAGCCCGGGTCTACAGACTTGATGCTAGTGTGACTTGCTCTAGTGCAGGGGTTCTCAAACTTTATTGCACCGCGACCCCCTTCTGACAACAAAAATTACTACATGGCCCCAGCAGGGGGACCTAAGCCTGAGCCCTGCTGCCCTAGGTGGGTGGGCCAAAGCCGAAGCCTGAGTCCCATCGCCCCGGGCAAGGGGGCCAAAGCCAAAGCCCAAGGGCTTCAGCCCCAGGCAGGAGGCCTGTAACCTGAGCCTGGCCACCCAGGGCTGAAGCCCTCAAAGCCTTCAGCCTGGGCAGTGGGTCCCAGCAAGTCTAACGCCAGCCCTGGCGACCCCATTAAAACAGGGTCCCGACCTACTTTGGGGTCCCGACCCACAGTTTGAGAGCCGCTGCTCTAGTGCTCTAAAAACAGCTGTGTAGATGTTGAGGCTTGCGCTGGAGTTCAGGCTCTGAAGCCCTGGAGGGGAGCCCAAGCTGGATTTCAAAGCACCGTCTACACAGCTATTTTTAGAGCACTCGTGCAAACCCTTGTCTATACTAGTGTCTTGTCTTCACCAGGATTTTACCTCAAGTTAATTACCATGTCAGCTAACTCAAAGTAACAACACACCTTTTTTCCTAGAGAAGACAAGGACAGTGAATGTCATCAAACAAACTCAGTTTGAAGTCCTTAGCTTCCACTATGGTTATGTAACGGCAACAATTCTGATTGGAACTACTGGTGAAAGTGTGTTTTTCCTTCCTGCTGGTACAGTTGAAAAAATAAATAGACAAACTGATTTTTCTCAAGCTTTCCTAAGAAATTCATCTCTGGGCTGAGACCAAGCATGAGCAACCTCAGACCCAACAGATTTATGTTGTTTGTTTTTTAGAAAGTTAGCAGCAGCTAGAAAAGAGGATATGGGGGGTGGGAAGAGATGGCGAGAATGGGTGTTAAGGACATCTGAGGATAAATGTATTAATGATTTTGAGGCTGGCTGACAAACATGAGTTAAGACAACTCCCAAATGGACAGAATGTCTGTCAGCTAAACAAACAGGGAAGTGAGAATCACTGATCCTGTTAAAATAACATAGTGCAGACCAACCCCAACTACCTCTGATTCAAAAAACTTAAGCACTCCAATAAAAGGGTGGCAGAACTTACAAGGGTCCCAATCCTGCAACTTGTGGGTGGGCAAACTGCTGGGCGTGCCTGAAGCCCCTTCTCAATGCTCAGCACAACAGTCTGCCCACGCCCTACAAGCTGGAAGACTGTGGCCTAACTCAAGATTTCTTTGATCTTCCTCCTTTCCCAGTTAAGTATCTAGCACCCTAGGAATTAAAGAATAGCTAAGTTAAGGCACCTGGGGCAAAATCCTGAACCCAGTGAAGTCATTGGAGCCCAGTTCCTCAAAGGCATTTAGGTTCCTAACTTC